GGCAGTTGACTTCTGACTTCAAACTACCATGACCCGAATGAATGTCATATTCGACCCCTTCTACAGCACTCATCTTACCTTTTCTCTACCTTTGTGTCTGTCTGCCTCTTTTAACCCTTTTCTCTACCTTTGTGTCTGTCTATCTCTTTTGCATCTGCACCTTTTTCTACCTTTGTGTCTGTCTGTCTCTTTTACGTCTGTGGCCACTCTTCTGTTCCCCCTCTCGACATTTTGTGACTTTGCCTGTTCCTCCTCTCTGTGAAGTCCCTCTGCCTTTGTGTCTGTCTGCCTCTTTTACATCTGTGAAGCGCTCTTCTGTTTCTCCTTTCCACTTTATCTCGCTTTGATGTTCCTCCCCTCTGTGAAGTCCGAAGTCAGCTAAATAGCTAATGATGCCTATCGAAACGCCTTCCATTTGAAATAAATAAATAAGTATTTGTTTGCACATTTTGTAACGGTTCGAAGTATGTGTACTCTTCTTGAGTTAATTATTTCCATTGCGCCCACAGGTCTCCACTTCAACGATGAGACAGTAGTAGTGTCACACAAAAGTACACCATTTTTTTATATTTTACAGTTGATTTTATAATATTCAGGAAAATTACGTTAAATTAGCTGCTTTAACCAATAAAAATTACCCTTAAATTGCAAAATACAATTAAAAGGCTTATCTATTTAGTTCATTCTAAATAAATATTTAATCAAATTTTTCAAGCCAATATTCCACTAATGGCTTGCATCAACACCACACTAGCAAATTACTGTTGATTAGCACTTAGAGCAATCGTGAACAAACATGTCCGTAAGTAAATAGGTACTCAAAAGGCGCCTCTAGAACCATAAAGAAGAGGGGTGACATTTTTGGATCAATACTTGCCGATAATGGTTTAAATGGCTTCCATAAAGTGGTATTTGCAATGAAAATGACCGATTTAGTTGCTTTCACCATTTTTATACTACTTTTGAACTAAGTAGTCACAGATTCTCCTCTGAGTAAGGAGTTTGTAGAAAGAATGGCAGTTTAAAATATTTGATTTCTTAAAGGATGAAGAAAATGTTATTTTATGATTTCTGTTAGCGGTGTAAAAAGTTAACGCAGATAAATATGCAGCTTTGAATACTTTTTTCAAGGAGAAAATTTATATTCATGCTGCTTAGGTGCTAGCAAATATTTCAGAAGGAAAAATGGTTAATGTGACGAAAGTAAACCTTTGGGTGTCACAAGTTTTCAAGAAGGTAGGAACTCACACCATGCATTTAGGTACAGAGATGTCAATTGTTATAGCCAATTGGGGGCTTCAAAGTTAAGGAAACTATAGTCGATGTAGAAAGTGTTCGAAGACACTGATAAAAGGTCTTATGTGCTCGCTATTTAAAACATAGATAAAGCACCGTGAAACTATGTGTTCTAAGTACTCATTGACTGCCACGCAAATACCCAGTTCGTTATTACTGTAGCATACTGGGAATTATGAATATGTGCTCAGAAGACCCAGAAGAGAACGCTTCTTGGCTACTTCACATTATTGGGCAGACGATCGAAGTACAGCTGAGAATAAACAGGAGTAAATCAAATTCACTGATGGGTGGGGGTATGTCGAGAACCACTAGTTCCGAAAGCAAATTCTGAAGCTTTGAATTTTTCGGTTTCCAATCTCATCTACTATTACCTTATACCTCGTAAATTTTGTATATTAAGGAAAATGCAAACTGGAATAAAATGAAATCTCAATCAATTTTCCCAGAATTTGAATAGTTAATATCGATCTACTATTCTCTATTCTCTAAATGTCCCATATTAGCACAATATATATGTGGATTAGAATAATTAATGACTAGGGGAATTAAGCATTTTCTAGTAATGCCTTATGAGCTGAAAAGAGATTTTCAAAATGGAATTCCGTGAAATCACCGTTTTTAAAAAAGGATAAATGCCTATTTAACCCAGAAAAGCAAATAAAGACGGTCAATTTTGATGATAATTTGGAACTAAAAGGACTAGAAAATGCCAAACCATCGATATATTACCAAAATACACAAACTACCAGTAACCAGATACACATTCGCTCATCTTTTATTTTACCCCTGATGAATAACCTTATCAAAGAAAACAACCTCGTTAGTATTGCCAGAAGAAAGAAATAAATGTAAACCCCACGAATTAGTCATCTGCCTGCAAAAATTTCCTTCATTAACGGCAAGGAACACGTTCGAAGCTTGAATAGCCGTTGCACGTGCATTTTAACAAGTGGCCAAACGTTATAGTTCTCTGATTGGCTCTTCAAGCTATACAGCTGTCTGATTGGTGGACATAAGACATTGGTGGGTGGTTGCTATCTTTGCGCGTGCTGCGTATTTCCACATCACTCTACTGTTAGTCAGCCTAGTTAAAATGTCATAGGGTAGTTGTTAGAGGAGTCGCATTGTCTATCTCAGTATTTCTTTCTTCTTCCACTATGGCAGCCACATTTAAATCACGCCTAGAACCTGACTTATCAGACCCCGGCGTATCGCAAAGTCCTGATCATCATCATTACATGAATGGGTATCCTTGCATCAAAACAAATGGATCTTTGGTTCGCTCCTTCTCGACTGAGGAAAGCGAAATATCTGGATTAAATGGAGGACATACTATTGATCGAGATATTGATTTCGACGACTGTTCACCTTCTCTCAAGGATGTTGAGATTCTACTTAGAGGATATTCTCAATCTCCCTTTGAACATGAGGAAGAACATGGACAAGATATAGATGATGATGACGACTTTGCAGAAAATGGCTCCTCCCCCATTCTCCTATCTGAATGTCCCGAATTTCAGGCTTATCTCCAACCATTTGAGACTTCAAATGTTAACAATGATATTGATGAAGACGAAATTGTATTTGGATTTAAGTCTCACCGTAATGGCAATTCATCGAAAGACAAGAGAGAAGATGAAGACGCTTTATGGGAACTTATTGAGGCCGAGACTGAAGCCTTATGCTTATCTGAAGAAGGATTAGTTCGTTTACAGAGCCATAACGCCCCCCAATCTCCAGGAAAGTTCCCATTAAAGGTAATACCATTTGTGAATATATTTGCTTCTTTTGCATTGCTACGAAAATGTCCCATGAACTTTGTTGATAAGACTCCCACTTAGGGGACGACTTATAAGCATCAAAGTCATTATAAAGTTAGGGGAATAGTGACAACCAACTTAAGGAAATTTCATTTTTTAACTAACCTTTGTTTCATTGGAATGTCTTACATCAAGAGAGAGTTGAAAATTCGTCAATTCTTATTCTTAATTCGATATTATGCTTCGTTTAAAAGATCTCTATTTTTTACCAGTTTGATGTTCGTAACTATCGATAAAATCAGTCTTTTTGTTTATTGATTTATCCATTCATTCCAGAGCAGACGGGGGTTAACGATTATCGATTATCGGTTTGTTACCAATCCAGATAAATCAATAGTTTTTTATTCTAATTATCCGGCATGAAAGTATTTCCTCTCGAATATTTGGTCTATTTATAAGTACTACACACAGTTTATTTTCAATACCATTCTTCTGTGAATATTTTTCCTTATGTTAACAATCCTGCATTAATTTTTTTAAATTTAGTTGTTATTTAGTATATCTAATTATTAATAAGTACCACCTATAACTCGAATTTGGATTTCGATTAATTCCTGATTTTGAGACTTTCAAGAGTAAAACCTCATGTGAGTCTAGTCCTGCTATATTCGGCATTGGTCACTTAAATAACGTACCAAATTTCCCTTTAACCGAACTCTATCGAATTCTTCTATTTGAAAATCGTAATAGCTCTAGTTCTCGGTTAGGATCTTAATCGTTTGCAAAACCGTCTAAATTGATTAAATAGTTCATGAAATCTGGAGCATAAGTTTTCTAATGAACAGGTATCTTTATTTTAACAATGAAACAGTGATTAATATTCAAGAAGTAAAAGTGTATTGCCTAAGTCAATTTTCAATTTCTCTGTACTCTTATTTTAATATTCTAAGCATATTTTCTGCATGTTCCCTAATCCCTACGCTCCCATATCGATTTAGGGAAGTTTTCTCGGCTCCTCAACTTGGTTTGGAGGGGTCCAATCACAAATACCTCCTGATGATAAACATGAATTTTGCCACGCCTTTCTATTAGTCAAACTCAACCGATGTTGCTAGCTATTCCTTTCACTGACTGTGCGCCGATGAGCAGAGAATTTTGGATTTCTGATATTACAAAGAACTTCGTTAATTGCTTTAATTCAGCACGTAGCAGCCTGTTTAAAGATCCCGTTTGTTTAAATGTTTCCATGTGATGACAAAAATTACTAACTATTTCCTTACTGTTAGTCATGAATAAAGCTAGGAAGTACAGTCCTTTTTCTGCACCTATGGTTTACAAAACAGTCGCAAATATCGCGAACATGTATTGGTAACATTTAATTGTTCGAATATTATTAGAGTTGGGGTGATACCAGGATAAAATTTTATATGTACTTATTATATGTATTTTCAATCTGATCTCTACCTTATCAAATTCAATTCCACATCACACTCGCACCACAGATCCGTACTTCCAGACGCCAAATCTAAACAATCCTTTTGTGTCCCTGTTTGCACCTGCTAAGTGTTTATAACTTGATCTTAAGTGCCGTGCTCTCGTGTCATGTCATTATTGCCCAATCGGTTATTCTATGTTGTGTGTTTGAATCAGTAGTTATATTATCCCGCGTTTTTGTAATTCATGTTTAATTAAATCATTCTCCCAACTGAGTTAAATTGAGGACTTCGTACATATTATGCTGTTTGTACACTTCCTTAATTAAAAGGTTTTAATTATCTCGATTTATTTTATGTAAATCGAAGTTGTTAAAATTTGAGTTTAAAATTAAATGGAAATCATTAATCTAAATTCATAATTTAAACTGCAGGTTCTTGTGTTACGCTTAATCATTCCTTTCTGCGTAGTCAAGGTGTATCGAATGTCCTTCATTGTGAATTACTGAAATCTTGTGAAATCATCTTAACTCTATCGGGACTGGTGTTACTAATATTATTCCGAAATTGAAATTATTATCAACTATTCTATAAGTAGATTTTTTCCAAACTTAAAGTTCCTAAGATTGATCATGAGGTTTCGTTGTCATTTACGTAATTGTGTATAGTCAATCAAGACTGTCAATAAGGTGGCCTATTTTCGAGAATAGAAGAAAATATTTGTTAAATAATGACGATTTTACTTCTTCGTCATTTAGATACTGCAACCATATCTCTCTTTTGCACGGTAATAGCTAATTAGTCAACCGATTTTTCAGTTATTATCTCACCAATAAGGTCTTTGTGTTCCCAGGTAAGCCCATGAAGGAAAAGGTAATTCACTAATCTGATGCCGAGAAAACTCCGTAAAAATCAATTTATAAATTATCCCCGGTGACCAAGATACTTACATAAACGGTCTGTTCGTATTTTCGCAGATATTTATCAGGCAAGAGAGCATTCTTTTTAAGCTTTAGCTGCAGATACTTCTCCTGACGCTTTTGCTAAAGAATTACCAGATTCATTATCATGAATTATTTAGCTGAAATATACAAATCGAATGGCATTTTGGAATTTTTGGTAAATTAGAAAGGGTAGCACTGGTTGTACTAAACGATTTTAAGATTTAACGCATGAGAGAATTAGGGTGTGAATCATGTACTTAAATATCCTCTCCGTGTTCGTGATTCCGGTGAAATTTGTAGCGGATTGCTACGCTAGTAAAGCCTGACCGACTCTGAAATCTCTATGGCAGATTCTCCAACATCTAGCCAGACTCCCAGAACAAGCTAAGCTAAAGCCCAGCTACGAGGGAAACAGACGTGTAGCACGGAATACGTTTATTCACTACGTATATTGATAGCGAGTTGTCATTTTGGCAAAATGATTAGTTATCAGATAAATCTAGCATAATTCGCGTGAACATTAATAGCTAAATATCTCTGAGTAGTGTTCTGTAGCAGGATTTCTATTGGTCATTGATGAAGTGTCCCACAAATTAAAAATCAAAGGTAAAGAAATTGAGCGTACTTCCCAATATATATATATATA